TGACATTGTCATCTGGAATGTAAATTTACTCTGTGGTCCAAGCCCAAATCAAAGCAGCTGTTTACAGCAGAATCAACTAACCCAACCTTAAGTGGTAGCTATTCTACTGAGCACTTTCAAATCTCCATTTTATTCAGCTTTTCTAATTTTCTTTAAACAAACACACTGGAAACCATTTAACAACAATTCTGATTTCTCCATAAGAATTACAAAATCCTCCTGGATAGTTTGCATCCATGTTTTTAAAAACTATTGAAGATTTACAGGAAATCATATACTAAATTGATTTCCGTTTCATATATTCTGGATTTTAATTCTGGATTCCTTTTTTATTATGTGATTTTGTTCCTTGTACTCTGTTCGCATGTTTAAATAAAAATATAACCAAATATTTATACAGATTATGTCACATGGTAATGTATTGTAACATGGTATAGGTTAGCTATTTAAAGTGTAACCTATTATAAAATGTATATAATCCAACTAATATGAGTAACTATGGAACACCTTTGGTCAAGTTATGCTGTCTATTCTGATTTTTTTTTTTTTTTTGCTTGCTTAATATAAACCAAGTTCTAATCTATTGGAATAAGGTGACATTCACTAAATCTCAGAAGCATATTTTTTTTCTTCTTGCTTTTGCATATCTGGAAAATTCTTAACATGGCCATTTACTTCCTGGGTAGGCAATTAACATGCAGATAGATCTGTCCTAAAATAAAATTAAGTAACAACAATGTAAATTATGCTGCTTGTATTAACATTTGTAATGCAGCTTTTACAAAGTACTGAAAATTAGGATCTCTGTAATGGAGAAGAGCTCCCTGGAAGTAGCTACATGATATATTAACACATAGTTTGGATTGTACATTTATATTCATTATATATCCCCTTTCAGGTAAGTAACGTTATGCAGAGTGAAGAAAAGGAATAAGAAATAATATTCTAAATAAATTAATAACATTCTAAATAAATTAAAACATTCTGAATTACAGAATGTACCTAAAGCTGAAGAGTTCAGATAAGAAAGTAGGACTGTACAGTGCATAAGATTGGACTTGATTCCAATCAATTGCTTCAGATCTCAAAGGACTTCTTGTCATCAAATTACTAAAGCAGTTGTGGGAAGAAATATCCATCTAGTCCAATTTCAAGTCAGGAGAAAGGCTCTGGAGACAAAATAGAGGCTGATTGGAAAGCGGGTCCATTTATTGATGAACAGGACCACATGTTTATGGTTCTGGGTGCAGCTAACCATATGGAATTGAGAGTGGGGGTTTTATACCTTCTCTTGGGCTTTGCACTTAAGCTTCCTGTTCCTGTGCAAGAACATGTATTCAGTTGGATGTTGTTAGACATCCATGGGGCATGTAGGGGTCATAGCTGGCTCTATAGGTTGTCTGAGCTAAGTTTGGTTGAAGTTTCTGAGGGTCATGCAATGTCCTTAGGAGATTGTGCAATGTAGTGAGCTCTCTGTCTTAGTGGGTTAATTTTATGTCCTGAAGGGTCATGTCTTAATCCCTTCACCCTGGAGCTGAAGGTCTTTTGTTTTGTAGATAGGTTGGCCCAGTCTTTTTTAATGGGCACAAAATATCTGCTGGGGGCGGAAGCTGGGGCTCTGAGTTTCTGTCTCTTAAGATTTTTTATTTCTCTTTTAGAGGAAATATTTTACCTTGCCTTCTTTAATATTACTCAAAATATTTCATTCTTCTAGGAGCAGGGGTGGGGTGGTTTAGTTTCCCACACAGCCATATCTTTTCCCAGGCTCACATGGCTATTGCTAGGAGGCTTTTGCAGCAGCCAATCCTGAAAACAGATGTGACCACTTTTATAAGTTGCCAAGAGGTATTGCATCTGCATTTTCACTCTGCTTTTCAGCATCAAATCTGAATGCACAAATGCAAGTGAAAACCATTCATAAAATGGGTGGAACTTAAAAGTTCAAAATTGTACTTTTTCTGTTTGAGTTTGTCAGTAAAAAATAAAACCTCTTTGTGCAGTATTCTGATCTGAATTTAATTACTATCATCTGCATTATTAATCTTCAATCTGGTAATAAAATATTGCTGCAAAACGTGACTTCTATTCTTCTTCCTGACAAAGCGCACAAGAATTTCCCTTGGTACATTTCTTAACTTTACAAACAACAAGTTGATTCCATACTCTTTTTCAAGTTCTGTTTTTACATCATCATCATCATCATTCTCCCCTTCCAAAAAAAGTTCGTTGAAGATTGAACAATGTTTTCTCTGATGTCTTTTCCGGGATCCTCTGAAATTGCTGTAAATCTCAAGCATTTCTTTTTCAATCCTGGTAATGCCACATTGTCTAAACCTTTTCCTGTCTTTCTATTTATTATTTTATTTCACTTTCAAAAATTTCCATTTTGTCATTAATTTAACTTCTCCAGTAACTTTATTTTATTTTATTTATGTACATCCCGCCTGTATTATTTGTACTAGTAACTCAAGGCAGTGAACATATCCAACATACATTTCTCCAATTTTCCTCACAACAACCACCTTGTGAGGTGAGTTGCGCTGAGAGACGGTGGCTGGCCAAACTCACCCAGCCAGCTTTCATGGCTAAGGCAGTACTTGAACTCTTGGTCTCCTGGTTTTGTGCCTTAACCATTAGACCAGCTGGCTCTCTTGTGATAGTTTCTTTAATTTGCTTTGTAAGTTTTTCCATCTTTACAGATTTTTCTTCTATTCTCACTTGAAAAGCAACCAGCTCACTTTTAATAGATTTAACAGATTCAGATTCTTCCTTCCCCGTTTCTTCAGACATCTGTTATATCCTCCTTGCTGTTTGTTGCTCCAACAATCCTCTCCCTCCCTCACCCTTGCAGCTTTTCTAGTGGTTGCCATTCTTTTACTTATAATTAAAAAGTAAAAGTCAATTACAAAGATGAAAATGAAAGGCAAGTTTCTCCCCCCCCCACCATCTTTTACCTTTTTGTTTTGTTGCTTTCAAAGACCTTTTTTTTGACAGTATCTGAAAGTAATTAAGAAAGTGAACATTTGGTCAAACTGAATGTCTTTTAAAAGGCTGCACTTAACATATGTGAGCACACTGTTTCTTTCTCAATCCCATTCAATCTACTCATGAGAAAACCACAGGACTTCCATCCCACAGTCTCAGCACAAGGTGAAGAAGTCCAGAGTGCAAGTGGGCAATCACTTGGTCTCTCCTTTATCCAGAAAAGCTTTGTTGGCCAGAAATCACTATTAGTTTCATTCACTACTTTCAACTCTATCTTCACTCCTTCAGAGACATCTAATCTGTCATAGAACCTCACCTGGAAGCCCAACAAGCTCCATGAAGATCTTGAGGTGATGAGTGTACATAACACAGAGACGCATGGCCATCACTGTCCATGCTGTTACATTTGAACCAGTTGAAGCTTCAAGTATTCCTCAAGGACAGATCAATGTAAAGACTGTAGTAGTTGAGCCACAAGTTGATTAGGGCATGAATGACTGTACATATTGTTCTATAGTATGTTAATAATATATACCTGAGTTTCACTTTGTGTGTTTGTTTATTTATCATGTTTGAATATTGATATAATCAAGGAATAACTCCAGGGAAATCCAGGGTTCAACTAAACAAACTAGTGGCCATGACACAAGTAAAGAAAAGTTACAGCTTTGATCACACTGTTGCAATCATCATTTTGACTTTTTGAACCCACGTATAGACTTTCACCCCTTCACCCTTAAACAACTTCCCAAGTTAAATTGACAAGGTTGCTGTTTGATCGTTTTTAGATGTCTGAGGTAATGAATGGGATTTATGTCTAACTCATACCATTCCATGCACATTGGCCAAATAGACTGCCAGAACTGCCATAACGTTCAAGTACCAAGAGTATCCTTTCTTTCATCAACCAGCAGTACATGTAGTAGTTTTCTGAATTCTTGTCACCATTTTTTCATTTTTGCACCTAGCATCTGTTGAATGCTCACTGAAATGCTATTAATACACATGGTCCTGCCAACGTAGCAATGTAGATAAAACATTTACAGTGATGATCTAAAATGAGAAATATTAAAATACCAAATCAAGGCATTTAAAGCAGGGCTGAAATATTTCATAAAAACACAACTTACTATTAGCCTCTCACATAAAATTTATTCCAGTGGGCCAACATGTATTAGAGAAAGGGGCTTTAGAAGGCAAGGGGCATTTCTCTTCTCATACTGGCAAAGAAGCATTGAAATTTTAAAAAAAGTAGGGGCAGGGCCTGAGATGACACTAGTGTTCCAACTAGGACCCCCCATAGCTGTACTAGGGCTGCAGGTCCCTGAACCCATGATTCCCCAGCTGGACCCTTCAAGTTATGGAGAATCTGAAAGATGGTGCTGCTATCCTTTTTTAAAAAAACTAAAATATGAGATACCAATAAATTTTCCCAATATTGTATGTTTAATTTTCTCCTGAATTAGCAAGCTAGATCAATCATTTAATACGCGATGCAGGTACCATGCAGTTGCCATAACAAATATCTGAAACAAATATCAAGATGGATATATTAGTTCAACCTCCAACTGCCTTGGGGTTTTGTTTAAGCTAGAATATAATATCAATTTAAGAAGCAAATTTCCTCTTTCCAGAAGAAAATTTTTCTGGTGTAATAAAAAAGAAAGAAATCAGAATATTTAGGAACAAAGTAGTTCCCCTCCCCATTATTTTTATGTAGTTCCGTTGTTTCTTTTCAATACTTACAAAGACTCTACCGTTTTATATGAAGTCAGCTATATGTTGCTTTATTACATCTTTATTCCCTTAGGAGATTTTGATATACCAAGAGAAATAACTTTCTTTGCCCATGATTGAAACCCAAGGTAAAACTTACTTAATTAATAAATGTATACTCCATCTTCACAAAGTATATAAAGCAAATAAAAAAACCAATACAGTACATCAAATGCTGATCACCTGAAGCTATAATTTATGTTAGCCATGGTTTGTAGTTTCTGGAAAGAATCAACATATTAAATTAAATAAACCACATTATTGAAACCTAATAAAGGGGGAGGGCCAAAGGAAAATATGAAGCTTATTTCACAAATAGGCTCATGCCTGCTTACCTCCGCAGCTACTACTCCTAAACAACAGCCCACAAAAGTCCATCTGTACAAATTAAAGAAATATGCAATTGCATGGGAGCAGCCCTATAATAAATAAAAGAATCATTATGCAAATGTCTCCCTCAGCATTAACTAAAGTAACCCAAATACACAACATAAATATCTCTCAAGATGTTGACTTGTGGAAGGGCTTCCTATGTATACTATATATCTGGTCAGCAGATGGTTTCTCATCCTCTCTGCATGTCCTGATAATTCCTTTGAAAGAAAAGTAGGACCCAATTTAAAGCACCATATTTGGACTATTTGCGATTTGATATTGATAGTTTCAAATTGAATTTAACTATATATGTTGAAAAGCAATTAAGTTGTAAAGCTGGTACGCACAACTAAAATAAACCTTAAACGATATTCCAATGATAACATAAACACCTTTTGGGGGGTTAATTTAATTTTGACTAAATCTTGGCATTTATGTGGACAAATCCATGATATGTGGTAACACATATCAGAAGTGGTTTGTCATTGCCTTCTTCCCAGGGTTGAGAGAAAGTGACTGGCCCAAGGTAACCCAGCTTGTTTCTGTGTCTAAGGTATTAGAACTTCTGTTATGCCAGTTCTAACTCAACTTCTTAACCATTAGACAGAATTGGCTCTTTTAATAATTGTTGTGTATGTCAGCCTTTGAGTCAGTACTGATGAATAAGATGCTAAACTTTCTAAGAGATTCAACATTCTATTTGGCAGACAAGCATATGAGAATTTTAAAAATGCAAATATTAATTACTTACATTATTAAGCGTCCAAAGTAGGAGAGCAATAAAGGTCCTATTTAAAAGTTATCAGTAAATTACTCTCTATAAATCTTTGTCTAAGGATTACAGTGATTATATAGCATGCAGATGAGCAAACATCCTTACTACATTATTGACATATCCAACTTTTCCTTGCTGACAGAGGTTCTCATCCAGAATTTCCTCAGATTCAGGGGACTTGATTCGCCTACAGCAAGCTTTTGGCCATGAGTCATGGGGCTGTTTTTCTTTGAAAAATTCAGCATTTTTAAAATCTCCAGATCCTAAAATTCCACAACACTGAAACTAAAAAAGAAAAAAGTATAGAAATAAAATCTTAGCCCCCTAAAGTTATTTAAGTTAATTTCTTTCAGATTCTTTTTGCTATTTGAATTTCTAAATTTTTGCAACCATTTCTGTCTACAATTCCTGGAATTATTTATTTTATTTTGCTGATATATTTACAAGAATTCAAGAGTAGTGACATTAGGCTGTCAATAAATAATATCATGTACTGATAATCTCATAAAAATGTCCGGTAGTAATGATAAATGATGATAAAGTATTTAGAAAAGATAATTTACTTAATTCTTTTTTTTTAGAGTAGACAACATCTTTGGATATCATTTATCTTCCTATATCAGGTTAATTCTTATAAGAAACAAGATGTAGAAATAAGCAGAAGATATGAAACTAATTACTCTTGTAAATTATAGGCAGCAACTGCCAGTCAGTTACCTCAAGCCCCAGGGTATGTATTCCAAAGGAGGAGAGGAGGGTGAAAAAGGAAAGAACAGTCAGAATTACACGATTTGTCAATAACTACTTTAACAGCAGAGCTTCTAATCTTAACAGTGTTTACTAAACGAGGCTACCTATATGTATATATAATCAAAGTTTAACTAAATTTAAGAATGGCTTCAATATATATATATATAGAGAGAGAGAGAGAAAGGCAAATATAGAAATGCATGCGCACACACACACCAGAGGTGGTATTCAGCAGGTTCTGACCAGTTCTGGAGAACCAATAGCAGAAATTTTGAGTAGCTTGAAGAACCGGCAAATACCACCTCTGACTAGAGATTGGGCGTTGGTTCTTACCTGATACGCCTCTTCTCGTGGAACTGCGTAGAGCATCCAGAGAATGGGAGGTGCTCCAGTCTTCATTTCTCACAGGCTAAGTTATAATTAGGGAATGCTCCTCCTTCCTCCACGTGACCCCTCCTTGCGTTTCCCAGTTTCGCGAAGACGAGAGGACAAAAACACCCTCTAATCTTAACTATAGTACAAACTCAACTATATACAACAACGTCATTGGCCGAAACAGGATTCCCCACCAGACGGACCAAAAAAGGGTGGGGCTGGATGCTCTACGCAGTTCCACGAGAAGAGGCGTATCAGGTAAGAACCAACGCCCATTCTCCGTAGAACTGCTGCGAGCATCCAGAGAGTGGGACATACCAAAGCATGTGTGTCCTACGGGCGGGACTCCGTCTGGATCGGAATCTCCTGGGTATCTCTCGCCACCTGTTGCAGGACTCGCCTGCCAAAGGATGCTTCAGCTGAAGCGTAGGTATCAATTTTATAGTGGCGTATGAAGGGTGACGGGGAAGCCCAGGTGGCAGCCCGGCAAATGTCAAGAATGGAAGCCTGAGTGGCCCAAGCAACTGATGTAGCAGCACTCCTGGTAGAGTGAGCGGTTATTCCACT